AAGCTGTATGTGGAGACAAACGTGAGATATTTGATCCGGGAAAAGATGGAAATTTTGATTTTGATCTTATTTTACTTGAACTTCGAAGTAAAATTGCGTTAATTTCGAGGTGGCCCCCAAGCATCAAATCACTTTATATAATATCGTCTTTTCTTTCTCTTAAAGTCATATAAGACACAAGGCTTTAAAAATTGTTCCAGCTTCAGGATTAAGTTGCTCTTACTACAACCCTCGGCGAATTAGTTTTCGGAAGGTTTTGGTGGATTTTCCAAGTCATGACCTAAAACCGTCTTTGGCCTTTTTGCTCTCGAAGTCTGTTGTACATGGTAGGTAGGCATGTTTCTCAACAACGGTTATGGTCTTACCTCAATCAACTAAGGTTTTGGGTTATTTTTTTACTGTGTTTTGGAGGTAATTTTTATTATTGCCTTTTCGAGCTTCATGTGCTAACTAGAGAAAAAACTTCGGTAAATCTTATTTATCAATTGGCCCCCAAATCCCTCACTATTGTCAGTTAATTGTTTATCTATCTAACTCTCGGTCTAACTAGTCCATTTACCTCAAAAAATGGGTGGGCTTTGTCTCACGAGTAAAACTGGTGCCGTTTTCTTCACGTTCATGTGTTATTCAAAACGAATGGCGTCAGCTGTATTCTGTCCTGTTGATTTCAGCAGAATGTTTTACCATGCGAAATAAATTTCAAGACGAAGTGCACAATGAATTTAAAACCAGCTTAGTTCTATTTCACTTTGCCGTATGTGTCATGATCTTGAAGTTTTTATTTCTCGAGATTGATGATGGGAATTAACTGTTATGTTCCCTTCTGTTTAAGGTAATGTGAAGTGACCCAATAAATGGTACTATAGACAGAATGGATGGCTGTGACACTTACTGTGGCTAGCTGTTATTCAAGAGTTTGTCATTACTCTCAGAAGCTTACTTCTTGTTTAAATTATCAGTCTTTTGTTCTCTGTACACAACTTGCCCAGATTAATATGCTATACAGGAATATGTCTACTCTATTTGTAACGGTAAAATTACCATTAAAGTTTTCAGAAGTTTTGTCCAGATTTCAGGGAAAATGAATGTGAGTAGTGATTAGTTATATTCCTTAAGAGTGTTTAAGCTTCCAGAATCAGAGCTAATAAATTTCTTGAGTGATTCATCCATGATTTGTCTCTTGTGAAATTGGCACAGCCAAACCCTCCTGGCAAATGTCTATAAATTTCTTTAACTTCAGTCTTATTTCTCTAAAATCTAATAGCAGTAAATCTTACATTTTCACAAAGAGGTCAACAAAATCTCCTCATTATTTTAATCTGACTTCATTCAGTCTTGTTCCCAGGGGATACAAGTCTTGGGAAATAATTTGGTTTTTGTCCTCATTGATACTATCAGCTGTACAAAAAAAGTCAATAAAAACACTAATGTGGCCTTGAATTACTTTAAAATATTTTAGAAGTCCGAGCTTTCACCGCTCAACGGCATCGTCAGGGACGGATAAGATAAAATACTCCACGAGGGCTGAATAAAAGGGAGAGAAGTGTCACTATAGTAATGAGCTAGTGTCACTGTGATTGATCAGCTGGACAGGTTCTCATCAAATTGTCAGATAACTCTTATAATTTAATAGGTTGAAAAGTAAGGTTGCAAAGTGTGTATCTGATGATTTTGGGGAGTAAGGATAGATGAAGTCGAATATAATTTTTATTGGGATAATAATTGATGTAGTTAACTATTACTATTACAACTGGAGGCTCAAGATGTTATTTGATTTTATTCACATTTAGGCAACAGGCTGGTATTTCTTTTTTTGTTCACACCTCTCCAGTTATGGTGCAATTCTCATCTGTTGAGGTTATCCCC